TTTTTGATGATGTGTGATGATGTTTGTGTCATTATATTTTGATTTGATTTATGATTTATTTTTTACGTCTTTTGAAAGTTGTTACAGTTCATTCACAATCTCATCAAAAGTATGGGCCTTCTACAATGTACAACCCCTTCATCTAAACTCAAGATTTTACCAAATCAAATGAATTTTTGCTCATTTTGGGCTCAGTTGAAGTAGTCCGACCAAATTCCACATAATATTTGAACAATTCTGAACATATTCTGAATTTTTAACAGGAAAGTCACAAAATTCAGTTTTAATTGGCTTTTTAAAGATTACAGTCCAAAACTTTAAAAACTGGCACTGCCTTGGTATGACATATTAACTAACTAATGGATTTTTTCCATCGCCTTAAAAAGGCATTAGATGGTTAGAAGTGGTAGGATTTGAGAATGGGTATAGTAGGTAGGTATTTTTTCGTTCGGTGTCACAAAGCAAAACATGTGCTCCTTCACAAATTATCACTTGATGGTCGCGCGCGCGCGCATTTTACAATGCTTTTATGTGAAGGTTGTGTACTTCACTCTACCAAGAATCGAGCAAATATATCGTGTGTGCCGCGCAAGTACATCTCTTTCCGCTATTGTACATTTTGATTCGCACTGATATTTGTTGTTAAAGCTTTCGTTAACTTCATGCGATACAAACTCCTCATTTTGTTGTGGGTGCTTGGTGCAACCACCGACTTGGCACCCGATATTATTATTAGTAATCCGTTATATTGTTGTATAAACCATGATGTAGATTTTATGTTGGACATTATTGTCGAGAGATTGATTTATTATACGGAATGGACAGTAGATTTTATTATTATTAACATTATATTACCTACAACGGATTTTACGACGACCACGTTACTTAATGTAACAACATTTGTAAACGACCATTCCTTTATATGGCTTTTGTTCTTTAAAAATGTCACTGCGTACCACCACACCGACTATGGTGTCCGGTTGTACAATTGTTTCAGGTCTGTTTTGTTCGGGCGTACACCGCATGGAATTAAAATTGCCGCGATCATACTGCTGGGGGCAGCTACTATTTGTGCAAATACTCCCCCTTGTGTCTACGGTTAGTTGCTCTTTCAATTATTTCTAAACATATAACTTCTAAATATTTTAAAACACTTAGAAGTTATATATAGGGTGGGCCAAAAGTCAGTACCCTGTAGATGCTCACAAAATAGACACTGTAACAACTGTTTTTGAGACTGCTCTACCGTCTGTAAATCACAATTCCTATTAATTTGTGAAATATTTTCAGACTTCTCGCTGTTCAAATCTGACCTGTGGACAGTTTTGGTGGAGCCACAACATCTGTTTGCCGTACGTTCCATCACTGCCTACAATACGTACATCTCTATTGCTGACGTCATGTTACTATTGCTCCCCTTACTCCACTCTTTCACTCCAGGTATGACATTTTCTGGTACCGTTTTAGAGTTACAATCTCCTAAAGATTTGTTGGATTTTTCTAGGATTGAATCAATTTCTTATGTCCATCCTACTGATTCCGTGCATTCTTATGTTGGACCACCTACTGACGGGTCCTTCATGCACCCCAAAATCCTTCATGGGGGAGGGCCAGGTAATAAATTTATTGATGATAGTGTGCAGGTTGATGATGATTGTAGTGTTAGTGATGATGAAACTGATGGGTCTAATTCTGCCATGGATGATTTCATTGATGATGCTTCTATTTATGATTCGTCTACTCAGTCAACTTTTTATGATCAAGACGACCCTATTTACCAGCATGTAAAATTTATCAAATGTGCCGGTTCGTTTACTTAATCATTCCATTAAATGCTCTTTCTTAAACAATTACTGCAGAACAGGGCCAAACCTTTAACGTCCTTACACCCTACTACACTAATTTTTAATCATCACTTTACTTCAGGCAACACAACACAGTCTACTTCTCCAACAACTAACGATTAGGGGATTCAAACAACTACAAATTAATCCACAAGGTTACATCTACATCTTCTACATCATCAGGGGGTAGCACTTGGGACACAATGTTCTGCTCGGTACACTCTGACATCATCTTCGGCAATATCTATTCCTTATCGCTACCAGTTAGCTCTCTACCTTATACATTGGCTAACCACACTCTACAGATATCGACATGTAACATATTAACAAATGCTAAACCTGGGGGCTTCTTTAATGTGCCGGTTCGTTTACTTAATCATTCCATTAAATGCTCTTTCTTAAACAATTACTGCAGAACAGGGCCAAACCTTTAACGTCCTTACACCCTACTACACTAATTTTTAATCATCACTCTACTTCAGGCAACACAACACAGTCTACTTCTCCAACAACTAACGATTAGGGGATTCAAACAACTACAAATTAATCCACAAGGTTACATCTACATCTTCTACATCATCAGGGGGTAGCATCATCATTACTACTTAGCTCACCAAAACCATCTGAAACTGGATATTGACTACTCACACTAACCTTTCATTTCATACTTTCATCATCATAAACAGTGTCAAACACCGCACCATACGTTGTACTATTACACACTAGCCTCAACTAAAATTCAACGAACGCAACATCCAAACCTACTACAGGCATATATATAATATATTTGGGGCTGTACTAATAATAGGTCATGGAAGCCTACTTTTCCCACAAGCAGATAATTACCCAAACATTTATCTTTATATCACGACTGTAACATATATTCTGAAAAGTTTACTTGAAACATTCACACGAGAACAGCTATATATCCTAATACATTATGTTTCTGTCTATCTTACATTCACAAAAACATGAAATTACAATCTCCGACATCTGCCTTTTGTTTAAGCTACATCCTTCATAATGAGTAGTTCTCCCCAGTGTCTTAATCGTTTTGATACTCTTCTAGTATGTTTCCCGTATCTAACTTGTCTTTTGGTTACTTATAATCGATACGATTGTGGTTATTGTAAAATATGAAGTGCACATTAGCATTAAAAATGACCACCACCACATCATATGTAAGTGTTTTTGAACACTAACAACCACCACCACATCATTTGGAAGTGTTTGACAACACTAACAACCACCACCACATCATTTGTCTGTGCATGTCAACACTAACAACCACCACCACATCATTTGTCTGTGCATGTCAACACTAACAACCACCACCACATCATTTGTCTGTGTTTATCAACACTAACAACAACCACCACATCATTTGTCTGTGTTTGTCAACAATAACAACCACCACCACATCATTTGTTTGTGCATATCAGAACTAAAATTGCAAACGTTAAAGAGGGATCCCAATCAGCAGACTTTCAACAGGAATTATTTTCCTACCGCTGACGTAATCTGATGCGAAAACCAACAACTCCTCATTCTACAATTACACGTATCCATCCTCGTATCAATTTATTTAACCATGACAAGTTAGGAACGGCATTGTAACCTACAATTCGACTAATATAAGTCTTCAAATGTATATCGATATCCACTGAATCTGTTTATCATTAAAGACTAAGCTTAAACAAAAGTGCATACTGCTTAACTTCGACTACCCCGTATTCATTCCAAACCGCCCAGTGCAACCTCCCGTGAGGATCTGGATATTTATAGTAATACAATCGACTGAATGTTTCAGTAAACTTACTGCGGGGTTAAGGGTTTATCTGTCCGAATAGATTCAGTAAAGAAATCTAGGTTCCCATGACCAATATAATTGAGATGTCCAGAAGAATTAAGAATATACAACTTTTTTAAATGATAAAAGTAGTTTCTTGTCATTTGATCTGTCTAATGGTTTTCATTAATAGTTCATGTTCTGTTCAATATTACTTAAAATTTATTTCTTCAATTAGTTGTTTCATTGTTACTCAAATTAAACATTAAAGAACGTTTACAGCGAATGTATGAAATATTTATGATAACATAATCTTACAAACCATGCCCCGTACAAGTATGTCAATTTTACAATACCACTGAGTCTTACCAAATAAAACCATTTGTATTGGTACAGTTTATTAACTTAAAGATGGCCTGCTACGTCATGAATGTTGCAAAAGAAGGGGAGACAATATAACGTTTCCTTCTATAATTGTACGATCACGCGACCCTAGCACCTGTGCCACGGGCCACACCCCAACTCAAAACACGTGAAGAGTTTTTATCCAACGCGAAACAACTCCTGCGCCTCAGACGATTTTAGTCAGACATCACCATGCCGCGCGGCTTTTCAAACACTATTTAAAATATTCTCTGCGCGACTGACGGCATACATTAGAAGCTTTATTTTTATATTCACACGCAAACATGATAAAGGCAACCTTTCCACTTCCTACCTCGTAGGGGCCAATAATGTAGAATGAAGAAACATTATTAATTATTTTTGCAAATATAAATTTAAACGATCGACAAAAGGTAATGCCTACGGGCGATGGAAATCTAGCGTCCGCTAACCGGCGCAATTCTTGTTCTAATAGAGGTAGTAAAGAGTGAAGGCATTGCTGTGCAACACTTTCGAGTCACTAGTCATTTGACTTTTGATGTCGAAAGTGTCATGGCACTCAAAAGTCATTTTAGTGTCACTTTTAAAAAAACATGACATCCTTATATATTTTCTTAAATGTGTGACGTAGTAAACCTGGGCGCACCATTTAACGAAAAAATTCGAAATATATGTAGGTAACGGTCATGTTATGTACCCATCCTATCAACTTGACACTCGAAAATTTGGTCAAACACGGCAGCAAGGGGTCCATATTGAAGTATGACAAGGTAAACATTTCCGTACCAGCCGTATTTAGGGGATATCTTATCACCTGATTAAAATATCGTTATTCTGATGGGAATTGTTAAAAAAATTTACTTGGGGGCCTGTATTGAGGATCTAGGGGAGAGATTATGTTTCTCTTGGAGCTTCATACTTGTATGGACGTTAAATTTAAATGCCTGATGGTCCAGTGGTTGCTTGAAGGGGCTTGTTATGAGATGGTTGCAGATCCGACCTCCAAGGAGGTACTGCCATAGAACATAATATAGGCATAGCACTTGAACTTGTAAGGGTATCGTTCAGTTGAAACACATTGTAATTGTTGGGTTCCAAAGACAGGATTCCAAAAACAGCCTTGTTACATCACCTTAATTATTTAACATTCAATGAGAATCCGACAGAATTAAAATCCAAAAAATACCTAGTTTTTTATGTATTTAATGTTATAAAATCTTTGTTTTACTAGTTGATGCAAGCACCACCTGAATATGTTGAGAGCAAGGAATGTGCTGTGTTACGAGAGACACTTCGTAGTCTTGAAACGAGTATCCAGCGAAACACTGACTTGTAAGTCTAATCACAACCATACTTTGGTATTTGAGTTATTTCAGCTTGGGTATCTTACTTATAATTCAAAGAATTATTTCTGTATGTATGTAGAATGTATGTACGACCACCCAGGTGCAAATTAGACGAGAAATAGGAAGTTAGGTAAAAACCAAAAGGTTGCATAGCAACGATGTTGTAATGCACACGTGCACATGCAAAGATTGTTGGAACGGCATTTTGATTGGTTTTGTGGTAATTACGTTGTGTTTAAGTGTTTAACATTTAAATCGGCTGTATCTTCTGTTGGGATGGATATTTTTTGATGCGATTAAATATTTCTTTCAAAGAATACTACTACTACTAGCTTCATCCCTGTTACCACGGGCTTTCTAGTACATTTGTAATAATGTTATACAATATAATATTATTATTAATCCAATACATTGGACTATACAAAGCAACCATGGGTGAATTATAACAAATTGTATTTATCAGGCTCAACGAGTTTTGGGCAAAGCCACCATTAGCAGATGTAGACAGCTTCTATTGTGAGCCTGACAAGGCAAAATCAGAAAAATGGTACAGAAACATTGTGAGTGCACACTCTTATTTAATACTACACACCATTTTACTCCATGGTGGGAAAATACAGGGGGGCCAAAAGAGACCTGTAACTTTGCAGATGGCATGCTTTAACAGGTGTAACTACTCATTCGAGGATTCGAAATTCGACAATTTCGAAAATTTCAGACACTCCCATATTATGATATATATCAAATGATATATTTGCAAATTACTGTAGATAATTATTTGCTGCATCTAATCTGAAAAATGAGGCAAAACGGATTTGAAATGACGAATTTATTAAGCATTTTGTGTATCTCGTTAACAAAATTGATTGGGTGATTATGTGACAGTTGACACGACACCTTAATTGGGCAGCCTTAAAATTTAATGGGGTCACCCAATCACCTGATCAGGTAAGCCAATCACTTGATCGCACATAATGAATAAACTTGTTATGTTTGATGTCTTGGTCATCTGAGAAGCTAAAACTCGCAAATTTCAGGACAAACGTAATTCGAATGGCCAATCACAATTCAATAAAATTTTTCTCGATCCGATTATCAGAACTATCGATTAAATGCGATAATGAACCTTCATTCGAAAAAAATGAACATGAATATTCTTTATTTTAACATATTCCTCGAACAAGTGGTGATAGTAGGTCACATCAAAAAGAATTACCTCAATCGGGCAATCAGTGACTGAGCTATAAAGGCCAACGTATGTAACGTTACTTTTGCCCCCCCCCCCCCCCTTCTGTGGCATGATGTAGCATGATAGAAAGATTGCATTTAGTGTTTTGATTCAGGTAGAATGCAGCTTTTAGTATTCGGAACTTATTTTATCAGATCATATTGGTTAGCTGTTTATAAGGCTCTATTGATATAATATGGTAGCCATAAAAATAGTAGTTACCAATGTATCGTTATTCTTTCTAACATGTTCTTACCTAGTTGAAACAGCTGCGCGGGGGACGTAATGTGGAAGCTGTATTTAGACAGCTCATGATTGTTTGTCAAAGTTACGGATTTTCTCTTCCCTCTCCTCCTACCAAGGAAACTACTTTGAGACCCACTGTTTCTCTTCAGCCTGGTTCTTTAGAGGTCCATGAACTGATCAGTCAAATTTACACTAGGTAGGTGTTTAATATTTTATTAGAACGGAACTTTACACTTCTGCAATATTATGTGTGATGAACAAGAACATGATTTTGAGTTGAATGTAAATAAATTGCTTATTGAATGGAGGTTATTCTCTTGTTATACATGCTGTATATAATGACGTAGCTATTTTATTACATTCTTGTCTTAGACTGGCAAAGCACTTCTGCGAAGTGTTGCAAACAAGCACAAACCAATACGAAACTATCAGTACACTGACTGCCATGTCCTATGTACTGAGCCCTACTCTACTTCTAGCTCAGTTTCACTCGGTCAGTTTTAAGCTTATTTTACAACCTTAAATAGTTATGTCTTGTACAGGAAAACCCCAACTGGTAAATAGTGGCATATTAAACTTGTAATCTTGGTTTTGCTGTATTGAATCTGACATGTTTGACGTTTTGCATGGTTCATCTACTTCCAATATAATATGAATATCCTGTGGAAGGATAAGAAAGTTGATGTCAGGTGTTTCTTCACATCTTACTTTCATAGAGGAGCTTTTATTTTTATAGTTCTGTCTTATAAATATTACTCATTAATGTCACGTGATATTAATATAATGATAAAAAACTTTAACGTAACCAGGTAAGACTTACCCAGCTGAACAGCCAACTTCCTCTCATCACCACTAGTTCTGATCTGTTGGTCTTCTACACTAGGATACAGACGTTAATCAGTCTAACTAAAGAGATGGCAGTCGCTGATATGGGCATATTCCTCGCTGGCATGTTCAATCAGATAGCTGAGCCAAACAAGATTATAAGGTTTGGAATCTTGTATCTATACTAATAATCTTTATAAATGTGTGTGCATGTGTGCGTGTGTCATGTGTGCATGTGTGTGCGTGTGTGCGTGTGTTTGTAATTTACGAATGGTTAAATCAAGAAAACGGTAAGAGATACGGGACTGGTTTTTTCGGTATAGTGCCGACAAAACTCTGACAAGCCAAATGATTAAGGTTTTTCAAATCGGTGATAGTGGTTTAATTGGTCATTTTGTGAATTGTGACCCAAATGTGATACTAAAGTGTTTCACTTACTCTCCCTCTCTCGCTCTCTCTCTCCCCTTATGACAGATTTGCTAAGTAATTAGGTAATTTGGCACCCCCCCCCCCCAATTAATACACTTTGTAATTAACTAAATTGGTAACCTGATGTGACAGGGAGTTTGAAAACTAATTCCTTGCACACTGTTATCAATTTTGTATCATTACCCAAGTAGATTCTAATACAATCTACCTTAACCAAATTACAAAATGTCGAAATCGTCTTCTCTCCGTTAGGATAGTGTATTTGGATCGGATAACTAAGGAATTGATAGCGTCACTACAGCAACTAAAGGGAACTAATCAGTTGGGCACGTATTTCTGTGACATTGTGACACAGTGTTACAGTTTGGAGCAAAACGTAGAGTTCTTCCTGCACAAGTACGCTGGCCTTTCTCTCTTGGAAGTTGTTAATACAGATGAGGTAAGATAGGGCTGCTCTTCGTCTCACTTGAGTCGTGAACTAGCTGGTAAAAGTACTGTTCATTTTTACCATCATTTAATCTTGAAAATACCCTGAAATACTAATTCTCAGAGACAAGTATTGAATTTTCTATTACACTGTAATATTGACCGTGTCTCTGCCTCCAGACTGAGACAAGCCCTGAACTATTGTGGAACTGGAGAGTGACTGTTTTCTCCCCGTACCTGGAGCTCTTTACCGAGAGAATAGCTCTGGAGAAACAAGAGCTGATCACATATCTCGGTCAGACTTTATAAATCTAACTTTTATTTGTAAGAGGCTTTTTGATTTAATGTGTCGCGTCTTCCTAATATCACACTATTTGCAGGTGAAATTCCCCCAGATTTCTGGCAGATAACAACATGTAAAGGAGAGTGTGTACTAAAGTGTACCCAGTACACGTGTGCAATGTCTCTAGGTGTGCACAGTGTCCTGTGTCGTCTTGTCAAGTATAACAACATGGTCAAGCAGCTCGGGGATGTGGCAGAGCTGATTGTTCCTCAGGTTAGTCACGTGTTTTAGTCACGTGACACGTGTTTTAGTCACGTGACACGTGTTTTAGTCACGCGACACGTGTTTTAGTCACGTGACACGTGTTTTAGTCACGTGACACGTGTTTTAGTCACCTGATACGTGTTTTAGTCACGTGACACGTGTTTTAGTCACGTGACACGTGTTTTAGTCACCTGATACGTGTGTTAATGTAGTGTTACCATATAAGGTGGTGTTACCACAGTAACAGTAATAACACTCCCATATAATAAGGTTATCCTCCCATTTTAGTGTTTGGTGGTATGAAACTGTTAAAATCTTGATTTTAAACTTTTCCGTATAAAGCTCATTTCGATTCAGACTAATTTAAATTTTAAGATAAAAATGATGTCCCAAATATGGATGTCTATTATATATAATACTACTATATACATAGGCAGATCCCCTCTTATCTTGTAAGTGACGAGAATCTTCTCGGTTACTGGGTCATGTCAACACACGTGTTAATTTTGCAAACCCTCAATTTATAATTTGGTACATGGGTTAAGTATTTATAAAACCCATAATACTCTAACTTACAGCCATATTAAACACACAGGTGACAGAGGAAACGGACAGTGGTTCTAACTCGGAATCTTTATTTGACGCAGTCAACAGTTTAATTAATGAGGTCCTAGCTGCTATTCTCCTCTTAGCTGAACAGGTGAACTACTACATTTAAAGGTAGTGTTACCATATAAGGTAGTGTTACCATATAAGGTAGTGTTACCATATAAGGTACTGTTACCATATAAGGTACTGTTACCATATAAGGTACTGTTACCCTATAAGGTAGTGTTACCATAGTAACACTACCTTATAAGGAGCAGAGTTAATTGCTAGGTACCCTGATCTGGCAGTGAGCTGAGTTTGAGGTTCATATTATTTAATATACAAGCCAAACTTCGAGATTGGAAACCATAACATGTATAGTGTTGTTTTAAAATGTTATTATATATAATTATTAAAAAATATTTACAAAATAAATAAAACTTGTGCAATAAGATGACGTACCTTAGTTCCCAAAATAATTTGTGTGCCAAATTTGGACTTGTTTGAGCGACGAAGATTGGGCATTTACTTTCTAGAGACACGGTAATTTTGCTCTAAAATTTATTATTTTTTATAGAAATTTTACATCGTCCTGCTCACTTCTAACCTGAATGAACAGCGTGACGTTGCGTGACGTAGACCTTGCCTTAGATGCGAGGAGGCCGCCTTAATTTTCCGTCAAGCTATTTTTGGGAACTAAGGTATGGTACATTAATTAGAATTTTACTGGCTGGCACTAGAAACTCTGTATCAATAAACTTAAAGATGAATCGGTCATCTGACCTTCTAATTCTCGGGAACTTATAATTGACTAAAAAATTTAAAAATCCCAGTATGTACTGGCGTTTAGTACTTCAAAAAGGAAAACGGCTAGGTATAGTCTTTAGAACCGAACACGTGATCATCTTGTTGTGCGAGGGAAGGAGCAGCACTCTGTACTGAAGCTATTGAACTGTAATAGAGAGGTTGTGAGACACTGTACCTGTCCGGGGCCAGCTGTCTGAACATCTGTGTAGCGACAGGCTGCACGTGTGTAGTAACAGGCTGCACGTGAGAGTTGTTGGAATGTGGCGTCACGTGATTCAGCTTACCCCGATCTGCCGGCAGGAGACCCGTGATGTTGTTGTTCTGATTGTTGTTAGAGATCTGATTGTTGATGGCCTGTAGATGTCTCCCTGTGTTGTTACTGCTGTTGTTACTGCTGTTGTTACTACTGTTGTTAGGATGAGTTTGGTTCATTGCCTGCACTAGGCTCTGAGTCACGGAGTGAGTTAGGCTCGCTGTGGAACTGAACTGGGAAGTAATGAGGGCGCTGATCTGATTCTCAGCCAGGGTACCCAAGTTCCCTGGCCTCACTTGGAGTGGTCTCTGTACAGTAGGTAGTTTCCCCGACATAGTAGCTTCCTTCTCTGACCCCGGTAACCCTGGTGACCCCGGCGACCCCGATAACCCCGGTAACCCAGCCTTGAAACGTCCACCATTGTTCCGACTTCTCCTCAGCGCATGTTGGCGTCGTGATTCGTGCAGGTACTTTTGCCGACTCTTGGGTATTTTACCCTGTGCTTCTAGCCGGGCCCGCTGTTGTCGCCGCTTCATGATACGGTGATACTGCTTAGCGTTCACGTATAACGGCTGCTCGGCTGTATCAACACTGGGCACTATGTTACTCTCCGGAGCGGTAATATTGTGCGCTATATTTTGCAGAAATGACATGGGCTGTGGTCTGTGAATGGTTGCCATACCTGCAACAGATTGAGTTACTGTTTGGGTTTTTGTGCTAAAACTTAGAACTGTAGAAGAAGAAAGAAACAATTTAAATTGAGAGTAATAAATATTGAAACTTACAGACAAAGGTAAACGAAAATAAACATTAGTAGGATTAGACGTGTGGTTGTCATGTTTTTTTAAACAACTAAACCAGAAATGTTTTCTTGGGTAAATTTCTATTGATCCCGTTTGATGCGACAAGGGAACGGCTCTTATCAGGAAAGGAATTATTCAACGTTTCAATGTGACAACATCGTATTCATGATGTTGTATTTTTTGTTATATAGTAGTGTTGAAAGTATTAAAACCAATAGAAAAATCAATAGAAATTTACCCAAGAAAACATTTTAACTATGCGACTCATAAATAATATTCCAATCCGGATTTAACAACTAAACCAGACCTACAGTGTGTCATTCAGATTGGAGATTATAGTAAAAATAAGCATAGAAATATTTAGTTAGTTCAAGGTTTAGAGTCAACAGAAACGCAACTTATAAAATCAATTCGAGAGCAACAGTTGTGACATCAATGCAATCAAATCTAATCAATACAATATAATATCTGGTAAACTAAGCCGGTAAGTTTTTAGGTAGTCCTTGATAGCACCTCATTACACCCAATTACCTCATTACACCCAATTACCTTCCCAATAATGAGGGACGGTAATACCTTACACGCACACCTTCTTAATGAGCCCACGTGACAGACACATGAGCCTTAGGGCTAGACATTAAAATCTCATATCTCTATAATATCATACATAGTATAATATAGCCCTACGTCTAATACTAAACTCTTAGATTCTCAAATACCATGCTAATAGAGACGAGCTAATATTCAACTATTGCAACCCTGAAATTGAATTTTGAAGCCATCAAATAGTAGAAATAACGAAGGTTTCCTTTCAAAATAATGAAGTAGTGACTGTAGTAAGCTCCGTACTTTACCAAACCAACAACAGATATACATTGTAGATTGTACATTATACATTGTACATTTTACATTCTACATTCTACATTGTATAATATACATTATACATTGTACATTTTACATTTTACAATATCAACATAAAACCCTCAGTTGTTGGAGAAAGTTCCAGAATCTCGGCCGATTATTGACTTGTACGTGTGCTACAGTGCTCTGTGGGTCTCTGACTCAATACCTGCCCTTCCTCTGTCAGCTCCTACTAGAACTGTTCTCCAGCAAACCATGACACAGATATTAGACCAGGTATAAGATCATAATAATATGAATCTGCACATGCAAGAATGGGCTAGGTAGTTTTTGATAAATAAACGGAAAAAACTATCCCATTTCTTCACGAATTGCCAGATCATCAAAATTCTTTTTTCACAAACTATAAATTGGGTTGCCTGATTGGGCAAATTAGTTTTCCACACCAAACTTTGCCCACCCATTTATAGAACGTGACCAAAATCTCCTTTTTAAAAGCAGGGTGATATGAGCTAAGTTACTTGGCCCAACTTATTTCCAATAAACTGATTTGGTCTACGTAACCTGGCCCACCCATTTATAGAACATTCTGTGGGATAGGTAGACCAAAATCTCCTTTATAAAACTATAAAAGCGTGTTCATTTCGTGGGCTATGTTAGCTATCCCATTCGTGACCTGCATATCTTAGGTGGAAGTCGAGATCCATGTTATATATTTTAAAGTCACTATTGTGACGGTACATTAGAACTAGACAGAAACAAAGTGTGAAGGGCCTGAACGGAACCCCTCGGTTTCAGTTCCTTGTTTAACACTGCCGTACAGCAAGGACATTCGCCGGGTATATATAGCCCGTTATTGCATTCCACAAAAAAAACTGATTTTACAAAAACATGCTAAAATTTACTTCAAATTTCACATGCAGATGCGCCTATGGATCCTAATGACTTCTATCCACAGAATAAAAAATGGGCCAACTAATTGGCCCATTGTTGCATGTGTAGGTTCATATGTTAGACCAGGTATTATATCATATATTAGACCAGATATCAGATGATAATAATATGATAGACCAGATTTAAGGTCACGGAAATATACCATGTAATAATGTAATTATATATCATGGCGTTGTATTGAACTCTTATACAACTTTAAATTTTAAAGGGAGGGGGGTGACACATCCCCTCACGTCTGTCTATGTCCGCTTGTCTCATAGAATTAAAAAAAGACAGGACAGGATAGGACAGGCCACAGGGCTTAGGCGGACATTGGCGGACATAGGCGGACATTAGCGGACTAAAGTGGGCAGCAAAATTTTGTTAAATTTTGTTAAATTTTGTTAAATCTTCTTAAATTTTGTTAAATTTTTTAGGATAATAATTAAGACACCCACCCCCTTTTGTCGGCATTTTTGGTACTAACTGTTGAGAAATCACGGTACTAACTGTGTCTTGGTATATAAAATAAGGTACCCACCCATAAATTGCTTTAAACAGCTCATTAAACATTGGGAAAGGGGCAAATTATACCCACTATTTAGTAGGGTTTTTTTTCAATGTAGTCGAATTAGATAGAAAGTTACAAAAACAGGAAAAAAATTCAAAAAAACCCCAAAAAAACCTCAAACCCCATCCCCAAAATTGAAATTTGAGGTAAAATGAGCTAACTGTTTTTCTGGAAAATATACCATGTACTAACTGTGTTTTGGAAGAAAATAATGGCCCACCCCCCCAGGCCCTAACGTCACGTACGGTATTGACTGTATGATCCCCCGGCCCCCAGGCCCTAACGTCACGTACGGTATTGACTGTATGATTCCCCCCGCCCCGCTTTAGAGACACTCCCCTTCGATCAAAAGGTGTTAGAGTAGTATTCAAGTGGAATTAAAACCAATATAGTTTAAAGATAAAAATGATTTCTAAATACAGAACTAGAAGGGATATTATTTTATCACAGCTTTATTAACGTAAGAAACATTCAGGCGTGTTTTGTGAACAACAACAATATAATGGAGTGGGTTTTGTACGAGGAAAGTGCTATGTGTTGGACCCGAAATCACACCAACGAGGTAACTTTAATTTAGAATTTAATTTAGTTGAACTTTATTAGTTAATTAATTAATTAAGCAGTATGATCTTGTTTTGATAAAAACGCTTAGTATCTGGCAGGGTAGTGCGACTAGTTATGATGGGTACAAGTTTGCTATAATTTAAAAGCTTGATAGGGCTGAAAACGAATGCAATAAATCTAATACCTCATCTCATTCTAGCAAACTTATAATATGACTCTACGAAAACAAATTTTCAATGTTCTATAATTGATAAGTATTTAACATTTAAAGTTTTGCATTATCTAAAATAATAAACTATTTGATAAAATATGATAAATTATTTTATCAATAATGTGTTTTTTTTTTTTTTTTTTTTAAATTTTTATTTACAGTAGTTTTTTTTTAAATTTTTATATTTTTAAAATTTAAATGTTGGGGCTCCCACTTTACCTCCCTATTGGGAGGCTACGTCCGTCATTATTGACTAACGTCTATTGGGGTCCCTCTGGTGTAGGTGTCAGTAGGTTTGGGTCACTTGGCATGGGCTAGTGATCCCGCCCCTCCAGAGGATAAAAGCCTCAATAATGTGTTGTTGTTGTTGCGCCTTCTGCTAACATCCAACATTCGTAGCCACATTTCTGGAAGACGTATTTCTCGATTTTTTTGCACTTTTTCAAGTCTTTCTCACTCAATTCTGCAACTGGATAAGAACAAAATGTCAGTGTCAAATAGTTTCTTAAGTTCACATTATAACTGGAATAGCCCCCCCCCCCCCCCTGTCCGTAGATACCCACATTATAACTAGAATCCCCCCCCGTCCGTAGATACCCACATTATAACTAGAATCCCCCCGTCCGTAGATACCCACATTATAACTAGAATTCCCCCCCCCCGTCCGTAGATACCCACATTATAACTAGAATCCCCCCCCCCCCCCGTCCGTAGATACCCACATTATAACTAGAATAGCCCCCCGTCCGTAGATACCCACATTATAACTAGAATCCCCCCCCCCGTCCGTAGATACCCACATTATAACTAGAATCCCCCCCGTCCGTAGATACCCACATTATAACTAGAATCCCCCCGTCCATAGATACCCACATTATAACTAGAATAGCCCCCCCCCCGTCCGTAGAAACCCACATTATAACTAGAATAGCCCCCCCCCCCCCCCCCCGTACGTAGATACCCACATTATAACTAGAATCCCCCCCCCCGTCCGTAGATACCCACATTATAACTAGAATCCCCCCCCCCCCCGTCCGTAGATACCCACATTATAACTAGAATCCCCCCCCCCATGGAAGGGTATACGGACCTTTTAACTCATCCCCCTCATTCCTGACTGTACAGTGTACGTACTCCTATTAAGTATAATTGCAGTTATAATTCAAATTAATTTAATGTCTTAAAAATGTTTAATTCGACTTTAGCATTCACTGGCACCAAAATCATGGTTTAACAAGAATTGCGCCCGTTGTTTCGTTTTGGCGGATGCTAGATTTCCATTCCACATTTACTATAAATTTAAGTATAAGCTCCAATCAGCTCACTTTAATCTTTATGATAATAATATTGATAAATTATGCATTAAATACGGGAAACACTTGAAATTTTTATTCAGTTCAATTGCCGTAGAACTTAACTTGTATCTGTAATTCAAGAAATTGTAAGCAAAGGTAAACTATACTCGTGTACACATCAATAGTCAATACACTACACGTGCCACGTACAAATTTGGCTTATATAACCTAATATTATACATTACAATTACATCGTATACATTAAAACACAGTTGCGCCGCGCATTCATAGATCACAGGCTATCTATACATCACATCAGTGATCGACCGGGATCCCGGCCCCGGATACGGCCGGGATTTGTGTTTTTTCCCCGGTCCCGGCCCCGGCAAAACAATTTTCAAAATCCCGGCCCCGGCCCCGGCCAGAGGCCCCCAATCCCGGCCCCGGCTTTTTGTCAATTTTTGCCGGGATTTTGCCGGGATTTCTCGTATTTTCTGCCTCAATTTAAACCGATAGATTATCAGAATTTATTTTGATTTTTAGACTTAAATTAAACACAAATTTTTCGGTAACATGAGATCGAGTGAAAAATATAAATACGCGGACTTGACATCATTCCAGTTTGATATTCAGAAAATTTCAACTTTGAATTTACAAAGAATGTAAAACATTAATGTTGAATTAAAAAGTTCGAGGTTGATTAAAAAGTTCGAGTAAAGTCATGTGTTCGTGTACCGTTTTCTTTCATATAACTAGTACAAACGTCAAACAATTTAGTTCAGGAGCAAAAAACAGTAGAGAGTGAGGCCGACTCAATGCAGATGATGATGATAGTCATCAGATCACAGATGACTACTCGTTTCCGGTGTCAGCTTCAGTGTCCGAAATATCTATGTCCGGCTACAAGAAAGCCTTTCTGACTTAATAATATAATAATAATAGGATTATGGCCACATGGCCATCTCGACAAAACTTGAAACCCAACTGCACTCTACGCTATTGCAGTTCGCACAATATTATCAAAAGATTAATTATTTTAAGGACGTTAAGGACTTACATTTAACTATTAAAGAGAAATAATCGTTCCTCATCCTTTAAACATTGTGTAGCTGCCTTCTAGGTTGACCTTGAAGCTAGCTCACATTGATACGAGTTTCCGGAAACTTTCAAAAATTTTCAAAATTAGATTTAAAAAATCCCGGCCCCGGCCCCGGCCCCGGCCCCGGCCCCGGCCCCGGCATATTTTAGCCAATCCCGGCCCCGGCCCCGGCCTTGGCAACATTTCAAAATCCCGGTTAATCCCGGCCCCGGCTGATTCAACTTGGTCCCGGCCCCGGCCCCGGCTAAATTTCGTCCCCGGTCGATCCCTGCATCACATCTCCCCAACCAATCCTCGCGCGCGCAACTTTTTCGTTGCATGGTAACGGACGGAAGTAAGTAAGAAACACGACATAATATACTTGACCCACCTACCACAATCTCCAAAATCCACGTTGTTCTGCAAAAACCTCCATTCGTAACCTTTCACTAAATTGCCTTTTTACAAAAGGGTGAAATGGAAAAAGTTGCATACATACCTGCCAATTTTACAACAATAGAAAAAATAAGGTAAAAAACGGACACCATTTTTTTCAGAAAAATTTCGTACTTTAGGACGGCACCTTCTGGAACCTATCGCCAGCTCCAGAGCTAACATCAATATGATTAGAACGAAAAACAAACTTATCGTACTCAACTCTCAGGCCGTACTCAAAACGTTAAAAAAAAGGAAAAGTTGAAGTGTAATACTAAATAGTAACACTAAATAGTAAATGAGATGGTTTAAGTATAGTTGTGGTCAGTTTACTACCGCCCTCATCAGATAAAAGTTCACGTGTGGCAGTGCAATGTTTTCATATTCTAGCTCAAACTTAGCTCTCCTTCAAAGTTTTGGTTTTGTACCGGTAAATTCTTTGTTTATAAGTCTCACTTCTTTGTGTTTTCGGAGTCAATCGAGACTTTTCCTCATCGCATCATGACCAATATCACTAGGTGCTATACGGCTACTAGGGTCTAGGGAGGAGTTTTTTGGCATATCGCCACTATTGTGCGCCAACTAATTATATCCATCCATTGGTCTCGAATCCGATGTGATGAGGGCTAATCTACACTAGCTTCAAAAGTATGAGCTGAAAGATCGAACAATTGTCGTCAAATTGAACCCTCGTCGCCAGACTGACGATAATAATGAACTTTCTAGATACAATGTAATGATATAGTAATTATATATAATTATTAAATAAAGGAGCTGAGAAGAGATGAGAGCGTAAGTATGAGCGTGCTAAATCACTTTACACAGAAACTTTGTCTAAAAGGGCCCAGCTTTGGAAGTTGAAACCAACTCGGGTCGACGTTATTTTTAACGCCGATTCCGAGTCCCCAACAGTCAAACTTGAGCTGTAAGTGGAGTATCAGCTGTTAGTGATGCACCGCCAAGTTTTCCTGTTAAATTTCAAAATTTTTATCATCAATTAAAAAAATAAAATAAACACTTGATAGGGCTGCGAACGGATGCACTAAATATAATACCTCATTAATCTAATAATCCCACTTTTGCAAACTTATGATAATATAATGATTCTAAGAAATCACAATTTAAATTCTAAGAAATATAAATGTTCTTTAATAACTAAGTAATTAACATATTTTAACGTTTTGCATTATATTACCTTACGAGATATAATTAAATGGTACGAAAGTCGGTTAGTCGGTGGTTTTTCGAAAAAAAAACACCATATTTTCGGACTATTTAGGTCACCGTCATTATTTTCCCCAAATTACGTATTTTCCTTAATTATGACTTTATCGATTTACTATCAATGTAGTAGTTATAAATATGATTCATCAAACAAATGAACACTAGTTATAGTGTTCGATGGGACTGATGGGCGGTTGGGGTCCGGGACCTCCTTAAAATTTTGATCATGAGTCCTAGTTTGTTGGTCAACTGCTATGTCAGAATCGAGTTTCACAAAAATTTCAGGCTGGACCCCCCTCCCACATTAAGTTGAGGCTAACTTTCAAAGGCTCCGGAGAAATCATTCACAAGATGAAAGAACTTATCAGAGAAGATTTTTGCATCTAATTTTTTTCAAATATTGGTTGTTATTTTTGTAAAATAAGGAGATATAGATGGAAAAAATCCCCAAGTACCATGATTTAATTTGGGGTATTTTCGTTCTCAAATTATTTAGGTCACCGGAATCATGTCGAACATAAATATGTCTCGTAAGGTATATAAAATAATTGGCCCCACAAGTAGGAAGTAAAATAAGGACCTCTGTTCAAATCAAAATAGATTCAAAATAGTCGGACAACTCAAAATAATAACAAAATCTGATTGGCAGTCACGCTGCACGTGACTGCCCGCACGTGACTGTGCGCGTCCAATGGACGTAATGAAGGAAATTTGTTATGGTTATCGCAGGAGAGATCACGTTTAGAGTGCGTCTC